GATGGGCGCTCTGGAGCCAGTCACTCTGGGTGCTGGAATGGTGGGATGGAAGGGAGAGAGGGTCAGATCTATGTGGTGGAAGATGTTGGGGGACTCCAGCTGACCCACCAAAGCTCTAGTCGTAAGTACTAGCATGGCCCCTCACAACCATTAATGTCATTAGCCTCAACCCTCCTGGGGCCAATGCTGGTCCCCACATGGTCACTCACCCAAGTGGAGCGAGCTCTCCAGACAGCTCATCCCTGCCAGCCTGCCCTATGCTCCTGGCTGCATAAGTAGATCCAGAGCGAAATTCATCTGCAGCTATAAATAACCGGTGTCCCTTGTAAACACAACCTGTGGTTTGCCGCCACAGTAACTCAGTGCGAGGGAAGCCCGGCACGTACGTATTCCACAGTGGCGACAGCACTAGAACACAGTGCACAGCTGGGAAAAGGGAACTGCTGCTGCCGGCTGTGACCAAGCAGCACGTCCTCCTACCGGAACACAGAGCAGGATGGTAACGGCCGCGGAAAAAAGGAAGGAAACCTTCTCCGGCGCCAGTCACAAAGGACCTGCCTGCGCTGCTTCTGCCCCTTTCCACTTTGTCCCACAGTGACAAGGCGGAATCTGAATCCACATCAGTGCTGACAGTCACATTATCCAACTCCTGCCACGCTTCCAGCCAGCCTCCCCCTGGAGGCATGCAGCCCTAAGCCCTTGTTACTGTGCTACGGACATGGGATAACAGTGCTACACACCTGCATTCACCTGGGCTCACCCACCAGGAGCCGACAGCTCAGTGTCGGGCTGGACTAGAATGGCTTCTGTAGCACATCCCTAGAAAGGGAAAGGTTGGAAAATTGTGCATAAAAGGCCTTGGGTGTCAGTGACAGCCCCCTCCAGGATCAGGGCTCCTGCAAAGTCTGACTCTTGTAAGGGTCTACTCAAGTGAGGAGGGGGGAGGGAAGAGAGAACCCTACCTTCCTTTCATCTCAGTGAAATATGCCCCCAAGCACTGCGGGGAAGGCCTTCTGCTCTTACAGAGAGTCAGGGCTTATGGAGTCAGGTACAACCAGACCAGTCTGAGTAACCAAGTGGGCTAGACAGCACTGGGGTACTCGGGCTGTAAAACCAGCAGGCAGATCAGCTTCATGGTTTCCCATTGGCTCTGGCAGGAACGTTTTCCTACATGAAGCCATAAACGGGACTGGGTCAGACCAAAGGCCCATCTAGTCCAGTGTCCTGTCTGCACAGTGGCTAATGCCAGGTGCCCCAGAGGGAATGAACAGAACAGGGAATCAAGTGATCCCTCCCCTGTCAGCCATTTCTAGCTCCTAACAAACAGAGGCGAGGGACACCATTCCTGCCCGTCCTGGCTAATAGCCATTGATGGCCCTAACCTCCATAAATTTATCTAGCTCTTTTTTGAACCCTGTTAAAATCCTTGTCTTCACAACCTCCTACAGCAAGGAGTTCCACAGGTTGACTGTGCGCTGCATGAAGAAAAACTTCCTTTTGTTTGTTTTAAACCTGCTACCTGTTAATTTCATTTGGTGACCTCTAGTTCTTGTGTTATGGGAACAGTAACTTTCCTTATTCACTGTCTCCACACCTGCTGTGCCGAGCAACAGATCTGCAATATCTGTAGCAGAAATGTGGAGATAAGAGTCTTTTGGGACCCTGCAAAGCCAGACACCGCCAGTGCAATGCCAAGAATGGGTGAGCTCTGGCTGGCAACATGACCTGCTGTCTAAACCAGGACATGAACTTTACAGTCTGAAGCTTCTTGTCCTTAACTCTTCAGGCAGGCAGTCGGGAGCGGCTGGCTCTCAATGGCAGGTACAGCAAGTCAGGAGGCAAAGTTCATAAGGGGCAATGTAACACTTGCGGCAAGAACGTATTCCGGGAGGGAGAGCACGGTCTGTTTAAGCAACACTGTGCTCAGGGAAGCAGCCAGAGAAATTCTTCCCCATGGGGCGACAGGATGCACTAAGGCGACAGTGAACGTATGCCCGGTGTTCTGCTCAGCAACTGGGGACAAGCAGAGCAAGGCCACTATGGCACGTTCAGTTTCCTTACATAAGTGGGCACCATCTCCGCTGTAACTGGGTCACTAAACGAAGCCTTTGGTGAAAGCTCATTGCTGGCTCCACCCATGGCCAGGGAAGGGGGAAAATCTGCACAGGCAGCCGGGGCTTTAAGTCAACAGCTGCAGGGTAGGACTGTCCTCTGTGTTTATTATCCCCGCGTTTACTATTCTGCAGATATGTGCAGAATTGGTTTTCCCCAGAGGGCACTGGCTTCTTACATAACTCAGCAGCCTCATGCTAGAGCAGGAGTGATCACAGATGGCAACAGCAGAGGCAAAACAGGGACCTCTAGGGAGATGCAGGATGCCAGCTGCTTTAAAAATAGTATCCCCCCTCCCCCAGAGGAGGAAAACATTCAGTGCTTCCCTTAAGACCAGAAAGCAAAGTAAGCTAGTCAAGCAGCACCTACTCACACCAGAACAGGTCAGGCTCCATTACCGCTGAGGTTCATTTCAAGGGTTCACAATTCTGCAGATTCAGTCAACTCCCTACCTCGGCCCCATCAGGAACCTGCATTATCTACAGCGAAGGATCCTCCGTTCAGTCAGTCACGGTGACATACCTTTTCTCATACCCATAAGTGCTAGAGGGGGAGTATCCTACCCTGGGTAAGCCAGATGTTTACAAAAATATCCACGTTTAGGACAGCAGCTCTTCAGCTGAGAAAACCAGTTTCTTACACTGGTAAGAAAGGCCCCAAATAACGTACTTGTCTAGGCACGTTCCAAACTGGTGTCTAGAGAAAGGGGAGGGAGAGCACACACCAAATTGCATAAGCTCTGAAACGCTTCCTTCAGGTCAAGAGAAATCAACAGCAGCCAGGAAATTAGGAGCCAGGGCTGCCAAAGTGCCCTGAACTCACCCTGTTGGCCACGCATGTTATTGCCTGTCTGTCTAGGGCAGGGGTGGGGAAACCCAAGACCCCTAGCTTCCTTGGATGTGGTCCTTGAAGCGCCCCCCCCACCCTGGAAACCCAAGACCCCTAGCTTCCTTGGATCCGGTCTTTGAAGCGTGCCCCCCCCCTCCAGCACTGAGGAGCCCACACGGGTGCTCCAGCCCCGCCATCCTCCCATGGGGCTGGAGCACAGAAAATCTGCTAAGCCTGAGCCTCCTTAGGCTCTGGTGTATCAAAGGAATGTGGGGGTGGGGGGGTGAGGGGGGAGAGTGATTTTTTTTTTTTGGCTTCTCACTTGTGTGCAGTGTCCAGGCCCCCGGCTGATTTTTCTGTGGGTCAGCAGCCCCCGACCCTAAAAAGGTTCCTCGCCCCTGGCCTAGAGGGTGATCTTACCACGTGTGGCAGAACTCCATCACAAGGCAGGGGGAAATTTGTAATTCCCTTCCCATATGTAGTTAGACTAGGACCTCCGCAGTCTCCTGCTCGGAGCAGGCAGAACAGGTGGGCTAAATTCCAGATTAGTCATTTTCCCTGCAAATGAAGCGTCAGATCCCTCCTGGTCAGTGTAACAGACAGTACGGCAGGCCTTGCGGGAAGGCCAAGCTTCTCCAAAGTTTTACTTTTATCTCCCAGATCTGCAGTTTTCTAGTTTCACCCCGGTTCTTTGGCAGGGAGTGGGTCCATCTGCAGTTTTCTAGTTTCACCCCGGTTCTTTGGCAGGGGGTGGGTCCCTAGTCACTGCTTTGTTTCCAAGTGGATTTGCTACAAATAAATAGCCAGTTACTAAGGACAGCAGTGCAACGTAACCTCACGCCCTAGCTCTACAGCTTGCACAGAGCATGCTTTTGGCCACTGGAATGCTTTCGATTCTGAATACAGCAGCAGCAAGAGCAAACGGTGAGCCCTTCCCCTTTGAATTTGGGCGCTCCTACAGGTGGTTTAGGAACGGAGCCTAGTAGGAAAGGAGTTCCATTTCAACTGAGCAGGGAGCAATCTGTTAAAAGACAACACTTCTGTCAACCTGCTGTCTGAAGGCTTGTATCGCACAACGGTGCCAAATACAGGAACAAGTGTCTGGCATTGCACAAGCTTCTCATACTGGAAGGAACTCCCTTGTTTAGTACTGGGAATAGGAAGTAGAAATGAAACAAGACCAGCTACATTCCTTTGAGGTGAAGCAGGATTGAGTGTGTAAGAGATTCACCGGGCACTTTACCTAGTGCATTCCTAAGCAGTTTGCACAATTGTTCTAGCGCTTCAAATTCAACCAGGCCATTATCACTCCAGTACGTTAGCCTGGGGGGGACAGGCCAGGAGATTGATGTGCACTGTGCCTGCCTCTCAGTGACCTAAACTAGGGTCAGTCAAACTGTATCACGTAGTGGAGGTTCCTGGTTGGGGAAAAAAGGATGAAGTAGCTGAACAGAACTGTACTGTGGCCAGAAAATCGCTCAGGAGTGGCCTATGGCACCTCAGCCTGGGAAGGCCTCGGAGCACAGGGATGAGAAGACACCTGCTAGACTACACGCAAACACCACAGCTGAGTACACTCTAGGGCTGCAAAGGGAAGCTCTCTAATTAGTGGCAAAGCTGCCAGTGAAGCCTTCCATCTCCTCATGTGCACAGCATGCAAGGGTCAGAGGAGCACACCCTGCAGGTGGCCTGGCTGGTCAGCTTGCAGAGGACGAGCCCGCAGAAAAGCTGGCCCCTTGCCTCACACTGGCCAGCTCTGTCAGTGAGCAAATGAGGCCGGGTTCCTCACAGGGAGACCGGTTAGACACGGCCTCCAACCCAGGCTTTGGAGAACAGGAGACAGGGTTGCTGCTAGTCCTGTTTTCCTTTTTATGATTTTTTTTTTTTGGTTTAAACAGAGGTGGGTGAAAGCCTCAGGAAGCAGTTCTTACATGAGTCAGTGGATAAATAGCTCTGAGAATATAAAAAGCTCCCCGGTGCCATTACACAGTACAGCCATTACGTGGGAGGGTGCAAGAGACGAAGAAAGAAGTCGCAGAAAAAAACCACAGGACACTTACCCAAATGCAAGATGCACTAATGCTTTGCCCTGAATTTAAGCAGCACATGTAACCTGGTCCATTCTGGTTTCAAGCTCAAAGGCATCAGGTCGATCCTGTGGGTTAGCAGCTAACATGTCTTTCAAGAGTTGCTTGATCCCCTCAGACATGGAAGTCCTGCGTTTCTGGGGGATATGCAGCTCCATCTTTGGGTTTTCTAGCAGTGCTTCCCCAACAGGCACAATCTCCGTGCCCTGCTTGATGTAGGTCCCCAGAAGCTCCTTCTTTGTCTCCGCATCAATGAACGTTATCCTCTCGATCATGGCCCAGATGATGATGCCCAGCGCAAAGATATCTGCCTTGGCCGTGTAGTGTCCTTCCCAGACCTCTGGAGCCATGTAGAAGTCAGAGCCACAGGCTGAAGACAGCCAGTACTTGTTCACATTCACATTTTTATTATCATTCCCCCCTTCCTTGCCCCGAGCCGTCAGGCCAGCACAGACCTTGCTGAGTCCGAAGTCTGCCACCTTGAGAACCGGGGTGCCAGACTTCTCTGTGATCAAGATGTTGTCCGGCTTCAGGTCCCTATGCACAATATGGTTCTTGTGCAGGAAGGCAATTGCGCTGGTCAGCTGGAGCATGAAGCTCTTGTTCGTGGCGGGGTCCGGTCGCCGCGAGAGCACGTACTGATTCAGATCTCCCCCTTCGCAGAACTCCATGACGAACCAGAGATAACAGGGCTCCTCGGCGTAGCCCAAGATTCTTTCGCCTTAAACAAAGAAACAAAAAAGCACATGGTCACTGCAGAGACAGCAAGAGGGGAGTAACAGTAAGGAGGCCAGTGATATTCGAAATGGAGCGGAAAGGCCTGATGAGTCTAGCCAGAGCCCTCCTTGCCAGAACATGCTGGTGATCACTGCTGTTGAGTGTCAATTGTAAATTATGCAGGAGGCTGCAGACTGGCTGACTGACACCCTCATCTCTGTAGTGTCATTGCTTTGCTGACCTAGGGAACCAGGGAGCTGCAGAATGTTTTGCAGTTCCTGCCACAGTCTCAACTGTATCCTAGACTCCGGTTTAAAGGACAGTTTGCTGTAAAAGTTTACAGGTAGCCCAGAGAGCTCAGACTGCAAGTGACCAGTTCTACTCTAGGGCCTGCAGGCTTCCCCTGAAATCTGAAAACCACGCCATGCTCGTCAGCTCCTTGGTGAGCTCTTGACGTTTTACTTGCTGGCAATGACTCTGTGGGTAAGGGGGATGTTTTTTTGCTAATATAGTTGTACTCTGGTACAAGCCCTCATGTAGCTGTACTTCTACCAGTACAGAGCCGACTGATTGCCATTAGAGATTACTCAGGACAATATCGCTGCCTACAACTATATTCCCAGCAGGGGGTGGGAGGGAAAACAGCCAGGGAAAGCTGAGCTGTTTGCCTTCTAGCAAATCGCACTTCCATCTTCTCTCTTGCATCATGTCAGTTCACTACAATCAGGAAGTCAACCTTGGCTACACAGACAGAAGCTGTTAGGACAACTGGAATATTTCCTCATAAGATGCTGAGATTTACACTTAACCATAAACCCAGAGTACTCAACCTGATTGCCTCTACTTGCTCACAGCATGTGGCCAGAGCTGAAAACTGAAAGTGTGTTCAATGACTCCACCCTTCCGTAAACAAACAGTCTAGTGCAAATCCCAGGAACACACAGGAAAAACCAAGGTTTCCAATGGCAGGTAAAGCCAAAGCCCGCCAGCCAAGCCAAGCCACCAGCTTGTTAATGTCTGTCTCTATAAAGGTCAGTGATTGGTAAGGGTGAGTGAGGAGAAATATGGGTTATTTGCATAAACAGTCTGTAACCTTGACAACGGCTATGGAAATTAGAAGAGAAGGATCTGGCTGCACCTCCCTGTCCTATGTGAATTATGGAAGTCAGATCAGAAGGAGTGGGAAGACGACCCTTGAACCAGCAGCTCTCAGCCAGGGGTCCAAGGCCCCCTTGGGGGCCACGGCCAGGTTTCAGGGAGTCTGCCAAGCAGGGCCAGCATTAGATTCGCTGGGGCTCAGGGCAGGCAGCCGAAGCCCTGCCACCCAGGGCTGAAGTGTGAGCAGTTTAGTTTTGAGGGACCTCTTGTGGCACAGGGCTCCACATAACTGCCCTGCTTCCTCTCCCTTACTGCTGGCGCTGGCTTTTCTATGCAAAAAAACAGCTACGGCACAGGTGGGCCATGGAGCTTTTCTAGCACCTTGGGAGGGCAAAGAAAAAGGCTGAGAATCCCAGCTTTAAACAAGAGGGGAGGGGGGGGGCTGGCCACATTTGCTGGACAGGCCAAATCCAGGCTCCCCAATAAGAGTATTCTAAAGTTAGAGGTTGTGGCAAAGCCGCTCTTTGGGGAGGGAAAGGGAGGGGAGGGGAGGGTTATTTGTTTCTGGAGATGAAAACAGCATCCACTGGTCGGGCCACCTTTGGGGAGAGTGTGGAAAAAGGGCATGACAAAATGGAAAACCAGAGACAGCCACTTCTCTTGGGAACACACATCTGCAGTCAGTTCCATGCACTCGCAGTTTACAATTTCGTTAACTCAGCCTAATTAAACCCCTAACACCACCTCACTGAGGAACGAGGTGTACAGATAGTTTGAACTAGCTAGCTATTCCGAACTATCTAGCCCGTGCCGCGTGTAGCCGCGCGGCACGGGGTTCGCACTAGCCGGCTTTTAAAAATGGCGGCGCCGGCTTTATGCTAATGAAGCCCGGGAAAGCAAGTTCGGTATGCATACATTACCCCGCTAGTTCGAACTAGCGGGGTAGTGTAGACATACCCTGAGACACAAGAACGTGTGTCAATCCGTGCTGCTCCAGCCCCTGCCGTAAGATTTCAGGAGGGATGACTAGTCCTGGCCAGGAACGAGACTGTTCTGGGAAGGGCTCTGAACAGCTGTCCTACGCGGAGTGCATGCTATGCAGGAGGATGTGCGGACTCTGCTTTGAAAGGCAACAGCACGCTCCTTGTGGGTTTGTCACATGGAAGCGGGAGCGCAAGCAACCGGGGTACAGGGCGCAGGTGGGAATGCAAAAGCTCTCAGCTCCTAGGGCTGTCGATACCTTCCCACAAGCGTGATGGTGGCCAAGCTCAGTCAGTCTCCAACGAGCTGAAACAGCAGCTTAGCAAAGTGGAAAGAGCATCCAGGTTTTAAGAGCAAAGCGTGGGTGGCTGAGTTTTGAAGCACATCCTCGGCCACGGGGCTCCCATGAACCACGTGTCAAGGCAACAGCAGTGGGCCAAGTCCAGCGCTTATAACTTGGAGGGAGTCACTGAGCGAGCAGGGCTTCGCCAGGAGTGATATTTCCAAACCATGATTTTTATTTTTTGTTCAATCACCTTTGTGCTTTCAAAACAGACCTTCCATTTAAAGAGCTGACCCATTAGCGGCTAAAATGGAATTTCCTGAAGTGAGATTAGGTGCCCAAGAACAATGACGTTTAGACAATAGGCCAGATTGTGAGGAGAGCCGGGGCCCGGATCCTGGGCCAGACAGGGACCAAAATGTCCCTCAGCGTAATTTAGGGACATCCTTAGGATGCTTTGGGTTATCCCATGGGCTCTGCTCAGCCTCCCCTCTGGCACGTTCCCTTGCCCACACCAGCAAGCAAGTGGCATAGAACTGGCAAGAGTAATTCTATGCCACTACTGACCTCTGGATCCTGTCAGGCTGCTTTCAAGCAGTTCTGTGCTACTGAGAAAGTGCGAGCCAGCTGGAAGGGAACCAAAGCAGAGACTCTAGCCCAACAGACCCAACACGTTACGGCCAAGTCGCATACGTATGTTGGTGAGAGCGCTGACTGTTACACTGGGCGATTAGTGAGGACCAGGGTAGGGTTTCTATGGCAGAGCTGCACAAACTGGGACCATAAACGACACTGAGAATATTCATAGGACATCGCACATGCAGGATTAGGGATGTAATAGTGTAGTTGATTAACCGTTAAGCAAAAGCTTATAGGTTAGTGCTATAGACTACATGTATTCCCCTCCACCCCCGACCACCACCACGCCAGTATATTTTTTTTTTAGCAGGCTGGCCAACAGTCTCTCAGCCCTGGCTTATGACCGGTCTGGGACCTACCCCCATCGCAGCTCTGCATTTGAAGTGTATTAGGAGGTAGACAGGCAGGTAGTCTGGCTCAGTTCCAGCTCGTGCTGGGTCCAGGAGCTCAGAACCCCCTCTGGACCGGGGCTGCCACCACCCCTGCATCAGAGGCAGCAGTACGGGGCGACAGGCAGCTGGTCCGCAAGGGGAAATCGTTTTTAAACTGGCTCCCCTCGCAGACCAGCCGGAGGCAGCAGCATGGAGTGGCGGGGGGCTCCTCAGGATGGGGCTGGATTGCACTGGCTGCCAGCCCCTCCCCCGGGACTATAGAATAGTCGAGACACCGATAAGAATTCATGAGGTTACTCGAATATTCAATGAATCGAAATTTAAGATCGCTATGCAGGGTAGAACATTGCCCTTGGGTAGGAATTTCAAGTTCTGCTAATGACCCAGTCTCCTACTGACTTATGTGGGAAAGCTACGTGTGAAGAGCAGCACGAGCGGCAGGCCTGTTGTAAAAGGGGAATAAGAACATAAGAGCGGCCAGACTGGGTCAGACCAATGGTCGATCCAGCCCAGTGTCCTGTCTGCCAACAGTTGCCAGTGCCAGGTGTCCCACAGGGAGGGAACAGGTAATCCTCACGTGATCCCTCCCCGTTATCCATTTCCAGAGAAACAGAGCCTAGGGCACCATTCCTACCCATCCTGGCTAATAGCCATTGGCGGATCTAACTTCCATGAACTATCTAGCTCTTTTTTGAGCCCTGTGAAAGTTCTAGCCTTCACCACATCCTGTGACAAGGAGTTCCACAGATTGACACTGCTGAATGAAGAAAAACTGCCTTTTGGTTGTTTTAAACCTGCTGCCTATTAATTTCATTTGGTGACCCCTAGTTCTTATATTGTGGGAGTAAGTAAATAACTTTTCCTTATTCACTTTTTCCACATCAGTCATGATTTTATAGACCTCTATCATATCCTCTCCTTACTCTCCTCTACATTGCAACAGGCACAAAAAGCAACATGGGACATCAGCCCCCTTCTGTCCTGCATTTTGCCTTCTTCCTCATCTACCCTGCCTTCCCCTCCCCTTGATCTGTGCCCTTGTTTTCTTTGCAATCCATGACTTTTAGGGTGATTTACTGACCATTCTCCTCCCCCCACAGTTGGGGTCTATCGCTGGTTTTGGTCTCTGAAGGGAGCATGGAAGGACTGAATTCTAGTTTTTGAACTTTGCATAGAGAACATTCTCCCTTGTGCCTCTAGGTTTTCGGACACAGAGCAGGCAGCAACAGGAAGCTCAGAGGAAAGAGAACGGATTTACATTGTGGCTCCACCTCAGACTGGGAGAGCTTACACAAAGTTAAGGAGACTGCACTACCCTGTCACAGCTGCAGCAACAGCCCCTGAAACACCTTCTGGAACCTCACCATTTCCAAGTGACTTAGTTCAGTCAGATCCCTGATCACCTTTCACAGCTACTGAACTGGTGTCCCTTTCTCCATTGCTGCAATTAGATGTAATCTTGAAATACACTTGTTAGCTTAAGATACCAGCTGTTAGCTCAAGATACCTGCTGTAAGGATTCCCCTGCACTGAAAAGAGACAGCCAGACATGTTTATAAGCTGGTGGCATTAGAAACTCCCAGGCTATGCATTGCTGTGCTATACCTAGCATACAGGCTGTATCATCGTGGACCCTGCAGAAGTATTTT